TATGAGAAACTGAAAAAATGGAAATAAAATGTTTGTAAATGGGGAGGGGAGGAGGGGGTGAAGGGAGGGCAGGGACAAGGGGAAAAAAATGAGACTCAAGACCTATTATGTAAAGGTACAGAATCCCAATAATGAATGTAACTGTATTGTATACCTAGATTGTACCAATAAACTCAAGAAAAAAAAAAACACACACACGGTGGGAACACACGGCCACTGTCACACCCTGTGTGACCCACTTGCATGACACTTTGCAAATGACAGAATAATAGTGATGGAGAACACATCAGGAGCCAGAGGTGTACGGGCTAGCGGGCGTAGAGAGATGTGACCCTAAGGGGACATGGCTGTAAGGGGACTATGATAGGACAGTTCCCTGCTAGTGATTATACAAAACCATGCAGAACTACACACAGGTCACACCAACGTCCATCTGCAGGCACTGAGACAGAGAAACCAGGTGGTGGTATGTGGGCCCTCCCTCTGCTATCTTAGTAACTTCCTGTGAATCAATTAATTGTTTCAAAGTGAAACTAAACAAAAACAAGCATCTACAAGCCGGGTGTGGTGGCTCGCGCCTGTAATCCCAGCACTCGGGAGGCTGAGGCAGGAGGTGTGCTGTGAGTTCGAGACCAGCCTGGGCTACATAGTGAGTTCCAGGTCAGTCTCAACGACATACTAAGACCCTGCCTCAAAAAACCCAATATAAATAAGTTAAATAATTAATTAAAAGGCACCTACAGAATTATTATCTTGGGAGTGATGGATTTTGGTGTTTTTTTCCTCATAACTTTTTCATATTTCCAGATATACGTGACATACTGCTTTTTAAGCTCTGGCTCCTCACAAGTCCGAAGAAGAAGCAAAAATGTGAAGCCACAAGTTCCCTGATACACTGCAGGAGGACTGGTAAGGCCACAGCCTTCCCAAAGCACAGGGCCAGGGTGGCGCTGAATGTTAAATGCTGAAGCCCACAGACCCAGTGATGCCCTGGCCTGGTAATTTGCCCCGTGACACACTGCCGTATGGCCTATGGAGGGAGGTACGGGTGGCCGCCTGTCAATGCAAAGACTGCCACCTGTCCAGCAGGAGAGACTGACCAAAAGCTTGGGCGGCTGCCCTGACTCAGCCACTCCCAGCATCTTTAGTCACCTGTTGCAGATCAGCTGTGTGCACACAGGGAAAGTTCACTGCAGGACTGTTCACAACAGCAGACTGAAGATAGCCTATATGTCCATTGGAGGCAGAGGATTTAAACTGTGTACTCCATGGAGCCGAACACAATTCCCCAGGACACATTTGGAAAGGAGTCCACAATGTAGAATGCATAGTACAGGCACCATGTTTGTATTTAACAAGCAAACAGAACCCAGAAACCTATACACGGGTATACAGATGTGCAGGAGCACTGGGCTGGAGACTGAGACCTCATTCAAAAAGAAAAAAAAATCAAGAGGGGAAGGGGAAGGGGAAAGGGAAGAGGACAACAACACAGAATGCCAGGTTTTTTTTCCTTCCCCTCCTCTTTCTTTTTGAGGTGCTGAGGATGGAACCCAGGGCCTCATGTATGCTAAGCAAGTGCTCTACCACTGAGCTGCATCTCTAGCCCTTGTCAATTCATTTTCTAAATATCTGTCCTCGACACAAATTCACGTACAAGAAACAGAAAATGTTAGATGTTATCTACACACGGTAGCAATACAAACGACTATTTCTTTCCTGAATATTTTCTATATGTCATTTTCATCAGTGCTTACTGTCTATGTATTTTGACACCATCCAGAGAGGGGAAAAGTTGTTTTTTTTAATGCTGAGACAATGTGATGCCCAAGAACAATGCAAATGTGAAATCTCTGCTTGTGACTCTTGCCCAACCATCCCAAACGTGACCTAACAGCCTGGAGGGTGGCAAACAGCCTAGCTCCAGCTCCAGACTCACCGCGACAATCCTGTCTCCCACGGCGAGGGTCCCTTCTTTGGCAGCAGGACTGCCTGGTGCCACGGCAGCAGCGTATACTCCAGTCTCCAGACTGATACCGCTATCTGCAAACCACAGGAGGGCTCTGGGTCAACCTGCCTGGCTGCCCACCCCCATCTTCATTAACTGCAGACTGTACCTCATGCCACCCAGCACCCCACCGGGTCCCACCATCAGGGGTCCAGGTCACACCAGCTCTGGCAAATCAGACACTCAGGACCCAGATGACCTCCTGCCAGGAAAGCACACATTCTGCATGTGCATGTGCATGGCAGCCCTAGCACCTCCCTGGGAAGGATGAGCTCCTGAAGACACACACAATCCCTCTCTACCAGAAAGGACTCTCGCCACTCCTGAGGCCGCTACCTTTGTGTCCACTGAGGTTGATGTGCAGGGGAGTGACCACCTTCCCGCCCAGGGACTTCCTCCGCCGCACAACCATGTTGATGGCGCCCTCCCCGTTGAGCAGAGCTCTGATGGCCTGCTTCTTGTCCTTGTTGATGAGGTCCACATCATTGATTCTCAGCAGCCAGTCGTTGACTCTGAGGAGGGGATCAACCAGGTCAGCAGCCACACAGTCCATGGGGCCTGTGGATGGCCCCAACCACCCGCTTGCGGACTCTCAAATGTCAAAGAGCAGGTGTCCACATCCACATTCAGACAGATTCCCTTTCCTGGGAGCACACAGAGCCAAACTTCACGTGCTGTTGCTGGACAGCTGGGTTCAAACCTTGGCTCTGCAACTTGACAGCAGTGGGACCCAGTCCCACTATGGCTCAGGGTCCTCATCTGTAAGAGGGGGCAATCACTTGGTGATTACCTAGTTGGACTGCAAAGATGAATCAAGTTATAATAAGAGCCCAAACCGCTACTTAGCAAGTAGCCAGCACTGTGCGTTAGTTACTTTAGTATCACTACCTCATGGAAGGGGCATGCAGCTAACATCCTAGGTGCCAACATGTACAGCCTAGGCCCCCTCCTCCACAGAAAAGCAAACACAGCACTTGACTGATAGTGAAAAAATGGACTTAGAGGCAATTGAGAGGCAGAAAGCTTTCTTTAGGAGCATCCTGAGCAGGGGAGCCTGAGACCTCAGACAGTCTGGGTCCCCAGAGGCCAGGAGCAGTCATTTCATTGGCACCTTCCCTTGGGTGCTCTGCATTGGGCTGGAGGGTTCCACTTTCAGTCCAGGGCCTGAGACTTCTCTGTCTTACCTTAAGCGGCCATCGGCGATGCTTCCTTTGTCCACTTTAGTGACAAATATGCCACAGTCTCCCGGGAAGCAGGGCTCATTCACTCCTTCTGCCATGTCAAATCCCAGTGCCTTCAAGTCAATGTCCTCCTATTGAAACAGCAGGAGTGGCAGCCCAATTACCAAGCAGTGAGGAGACACATCTGGCCCTTGACCCTGAGCCACTTACTCTGTCCCCAGGATGAAACCCCTGAATGGCCACAGTCTGCCCCAGCCAGCACTGCGGACCTACATTGCCACCAACTCTCCTCCAGGGCCTCTGCTCTTCCCCCTGCCATCCATGCACCATGCTCGGGCCACTGTGAGACCTGGGATATCAATCTGCAGCAGTCTAGTTAGTTTGCTGGTTTGTTTTTGGTACCGGGGATCAAACTCGGGACTCTACACTTGCAAGGCAGGTAATGGCACCACTGAACTAAATCCCCGGCCCAGCAGCCCAGTTTGGACGCTGTTGGGAAAGGACTTGTTCCCGCCCCTAGTGCTGACCCTCCAAACCAGCAGGTGTGAAGAAGACATTGCCGGAGGGTCATCTGCTCCAGCCCAGTATTCCCATCAGGATGGCAGAGAAGCAAAGCCATCCACAGCAGCTCACCGTCTCCCTTTCAAACTCGACAACTTCCGTTTCCCACTCCATGGAATCAGTGTCAATGGCTGAGTCATGGGAGCTGTGGGCCATCAGCTGCCGGAAACGAGCCTCCTTTTCCAACTGGGACTCCATCTGCTCCCTGAGAACAAAGACAGCTGTGGCGCTGGCCCTTCGGGAGGCAGAATATCCCACCCTATATATATCACAGCTGCAAACCCCGGGGGCCATTCGCAGATGCAGAGCCACACTTCTTTGCCCAGCTCCCCCCACCCTACAACCCACCAGGCCGAGGGTCAGCTGAGGCTTCCTGGAGTACCAGTCCGTTTTCAAAGTGGTTTCTTTCCTTTTTTTTAAGAGAATTTCTCAAGTTTATCTAGCGGTTTAATGCAACTCAGGTCAAAATGCCTGCAAAACTGGTCTGTTAAATGCAAACAAAACTACTCTAAAATGCATGTGGAAAGGGAGGAGAAGAGCAAAACCCTCCCAGGTCAGCACAGCCACAAGCTCGCTGCCCTCGTCTCATCTACCAGCGAGGAGCCTGCCCGTGCTCCGCAGGGTGAGGGCTCGAGAGGAGGTGCAAACGCACACATGCAGGACAAGCAGGCAGACCTGGGTTGCTCCTCGCACTGCCAGCTCAAGCAAGATGCAAACCTCCTCCCACGCCAGCCCTGGAGGTTCCAGGCTTTGCTTCTCAGGGATTTCACTGCTTGCTAAACCCATGGTGGATCCCAGGAGAATCTGGCTTTGCCTTTGAACCTCTAACTGGAACCAGCTCCGGTGGGTCTGGGTGCCTTTGTAATTAGCGAAGCTGTCGGTTGTGGCAGACTTTACTGAACAGGGAAGAAGGGAAGCTGCTGCTCTGTGTGTGAGGCCTACACACTCTCACGGCACACACGAGCTTTTCACTATCCCCACACTGCCAGCTCAGGAAATGTCATGGAGTATAAAGCCACTGCTTTCCAATAAGAACGTGATTCTGGACTATGATGGTTATTGGGCTCTGCCAATTTCTACTGGCCACTGCTAATGGTGGCAGAGGAAGGGTGTCCCCTGGGCTAAGGCTGTCTTCTGTGTTTATCTAAAAACTTCTAATGAACCATGAGCACAAAGATGGCATTCAGCTCACTCTGCAGACAGAGTGAGCCAGAGTGATGGCACAGAGGGCCAGGTATGCACACAGGCATGAGAACCTGCGCAGTGTTCTCAGCTACCTGTCCCAGGCGGCACCTGCCCAAACATACTTGAGCTCCTTCAGCTCCCGGCTGACGTCATTCTTCTGTTTCCGAGTGTCATCCAGGCTGCGCAGGGCCTCGGCCAGCTCGCTCACAGCCCGGTCACGCTCCCGCCTCAGGTTGTCACACAGGGTCCTGGCAGGGAGGCAGAGGGCAAGGTCACCCTGACGGGCAGAACTGGAAGAAGGCAGGGGCTTGTGGTCTGCAGCAAACAGCTAGGCAGCCCTCTCCCAACACCTGCAGGCATCTGCCTCTTCCCAGAGGCCCAGAAGGTACGCCTTCCCCCGAGGGTCATATTCCCAACACCAGTGCTCATTCTGCTTCCCCTTCACATGTGGGGGCTTCAGGACCTATTTCTACACACACGATTCAAGCACAGGCTCGGGGGAAGGGGGTTATGCTCTGCAGCGAAGGCCCCAACCCATATGGTAGCCTCCCATGCCTCTCCACTACCTACCCACAGTCCTCCCCGTTTTGCAGCTCTAGGCTCTGGGCAGATGCAAGGTGCAAGTGTGAGGGAACTCTACAAAAGGGGAGCCCAGAACACCTCTACCATCCAGAGGAGGTGGGGATACACTGCTCTGTGCCACCTCCTAAATACACTGCTCTGATGCGTCTAGAGGGCTGGACCCCACAATGCATAGCCCCAAATCTCCCTGTCTCTGTCAGAGACCAGCTCAGGTCTGTACCCTGAGAAACCTGTGGAGCAGGGGAGAGCAGCAGAAAGGAAGCACTGGGCCTTTGGGGTCTCCCTGTACCTCACATTGAGCACCTGGCAGTTCCCCATCCCCAACAGCCCAGCCCCCAGGGCACTGGTCTCTGCCCTCTGCAGCAGCAGGGGGTCTCAGAATCCCCTCAATGACACGCATTATACCATCTCCCTGGCCTTCTTGGTACTGCCCAGCCCAGAGTCTCATGCTCCCTGGTTTCCCATTTCAGGCCCTCACTAGCTGCTCTGGGGACCCTGTCAGCCTCCCTCCTAGACTAGCCCTAGTCCTGCACCGGGTCCTCCCGTCTGTAACGCCTGTCCCTCTTCCCCACCGGGAGAAACCCCACTCATGCTTCCAGGTCAAGTTCAAAGGCCACGCTTTCTGGGGAGACTTCCTCATGGCCTGAGTGCTTGAATGTCCCATCACAGCCCTGGCATCGCCTACCCCTGTTCCGCCCGCCCACCCAAGCTGCCCAGTGACCCTTACAAGTCCTGAGATGTTGCCACATGGTAGGCACCTAGCAAATACTGGGGGAAAAAAAAGCATCTCCAATGTGGTGCTCTCATCAGAAGACCTCAAAAGATAAAGGCCAGCCTGTGCCAGTCCCCAGGGGTCTTGCCTGGACATGGTACCCATTCAGCACATCTTGGTGCAATGAGATGGGAAGGAAACATAACGGAAAACTCCAAAGCCAAGCAGAGAGGCCAGGGCATCATCAGCTCAGCTAGGGGTAAAAAAGGAGGAACCTGGGCCCCTGCCACCTTACCCAGACACGTGGCAAATGATTCTGACCCTTCCGACTGACCTTAGTGGACCCCAGGGGCACCCCATACCGGATGCTGTCACGCTCTGCCACAATCTTGTCTCGCTCCTGGAAGGCCCAGTCCCGCCGGCACTTGGCCACATCCGTCTCCTGCAGGGCTTCCTTCAGCTCCTGGCAGAGAGCCTTGCACTGCTTTCGAAGGATTTCTACCTCCTTGTTGGCTCTCCCGGCATCCATCGTCATCGTGTCCTTGATCTGGGGGCACGGAGCAGGCAGAGGAGAGGTTACTGGACCTCCTCTCAGTGAGGAGTGGGGCTCCGCTGTGGGGGAGCCCACGGCAGCACCCCCTCCTGCACCTGGACCACAACAACCACTACCCACCATCATGGTCACACCGCAAGGGGCACAAGGCAAGGGTCCCAAGCCAGACTCTCACAGACCTGCATGAGCCTGGATGGAAGCACAGCCTTCCTCAGTCAGTCCCAGTGGCCCAGGAGGAACGTCCCCCACAGAGTGCACTGCCACACCTGCCACTTACAGAGAGCAACCGCTCACATGGCAAATGGCAATGATACGAGGCAGTGAAGGTGCTGGGGTGGCCAGGGGTTCTGCCCCGCCAACCCCATGTCTGCCGTGCTGACTTCCATAATCTGGAACAGCAAGTTCTAAGACATCAGTATTTCTGCTGATGAATTCTGTGCATCTATCTCAGTTCATTGAGAAGCAGAAATCTGAAACATCTGTATCTTGACACCTCCCGGGAGAGTTAGAGGCTCCATAAAATTTCCAATAACTCTCAGAAGCAACAGCAGGGGTGCTCCCCTGTATGGGTCAGCAGCATCCACTTTCAGTTCCACTCCTACTTTCTGAACAGGCAAACCGGGAGCACCGTCAGAGGGGCCGATCCCAGTGCCTCTGCACGGGCTGCTGCCCCAGTGACAGCAGGCAGGAAGGCAGGCACGGAGGAAGGACACTTCTGCCTCGCTCCCGCCACAGAAGCCCGGGAGAGCAAGACTGCAGCGGTTCCCACCGGAGACCAAAGGATGAAGGCGACAGACAGCAGCTTAGAACCAACCCTCAACTCTCAAGCACAGTCAGAAGGAGCTGGGGAAAAACTGGGACAAAAAGCACATCACAACTCCAGAGTGACAGAGTCACACGGTCTGCCCAACCTTATTTCTCGAGATCACTGCTAATCACTGCAGTTTCAGTTCTTCAATGCTTTGTGCAGTGTACAGTATTTGCTTACTTTGCTAAAGAATTCTCTGTAAAGAATTCACCCCAAGGGCCGGGGGTAGCTCAGCAGCACAGCGCTTGTGTGGCAAACAAAGAAGCCCTGAGTTCGATTTCTGATACCAAAGGAAAAATAAAAAGAATTCACCCCCAGTTTTCTTAGAAGTTATAGTGAACGGGGAGAGAAAGGATGAGGTCACTTGAAAGAAGAGTGGAATTTGGGGGTCAAAAGGACTGAGCTGTTCCCGTTGCATCCCTTGATAATGCCGATAAGGACAGCAGACGCCGCTGGTGACCTGCCCGGGGTCCTGTATACTGCTGCACCACATCAGATCTGCAGAGGCGCTGCCCAGGACCCCCTCCTGCCCCTCAGTGGTCTTAGGGCCACAGACTTGGGGATAGACGGGGTAGATTTCCACAAGACACCCGCCAGCCACTCACCCGAGGGCATAGAAGACAATGGGATGTAGGTGTGGTCATAGCTGTGCTGCTGAGCAGACAGCACCCAGGTGGGGGACATGTCTCTTCCACTCGGGCCACCCCTCCTGCTATGCGTCTCCACCCCGAGATCCTCAGGGACTCTTGCAACTGGGCAAAAAGGACCCTCTCTGGAGGGTCCTTCTGACAGGCACGACATGGCTACAGCTTCCCCGGGGTTGTGCCAGCACCCTAGGTTGTTCCTCCTGAAAGCAATGGGCCTTTGCTAGATTGGGCAGAACCTGAGCAGACAGCACCCAGGTGGGGGACATGTCTCTTCCACTTGGGCCACCCCTCCTGCTATGCGTCTCCACCCCGAGATCCTCAGGGACTCTTGCAACTGGGCACTGCCTCTCTGGAGGGTCCTTCTGACAGGCAAGACATGGCTACAGCTTCCCCAGGGTTGTGCCAGCACCCTAGGTTGTTCCTCCTGAAAGCAATGGGCCTTTGCTAGATTGGGCAGACAGGTGACAGGAGGATGAGCCCATTCTTGGCGCTGGGCAGACTCTGCCAGGTCCTGGGACCTTGGTGCCACTACCTGCTTCCTGTTTGCCTCAACCTACTGAGGAGAAGACTCCGAAAGGAGGGCAAGAACAGAGAGGGGGAAGGAGGAAGGCAACGTCCAGAAACACAAAGCACAGCTCTCCCCAGGCTGCACACAGTGAAGCCAGCCCTGGCAGGCAGCTGTGGGGAGCACAGGGCCTGACATCCACACCTCAGAGCCCAGGCCCGGGCCACAGACCGGCCTCCTCCAACCACAGGGAGCAGGCTCGTGTGGGGAGCAGTGCAGCGAGAGGAGCTGCGGATGCCAGTTCTGAGGAGGCAGGGGCTCCCCTGCTGCCTGCTGACTCAGCCCAGCTGACAGGCACACCTGTCTCCTGCCAGCAGCCCGGGCACCAGGCCGCTCCTGCTGAAGGCCACGCTGGAGCACAGGGGGAGGTGGCAGCCACCTGGACAGCAGGCCTGACCATGCTTGCCACAGGGGAAGCGCACACTGCGGGGGAGCTGGGGGTCCTTCCTATTTCTGTCTGCTCCCTGAAGTTCGAGTCTTCACAAGTAACTTCCAACATCCTGAATACCCATCCAAGAGGACTTGACATCCTATCACAGTTCACCCTGTACGTACTCGACACTCGGTGACCTTCGAGCTCGCCAAGTGACACAGCCATTTTCATTTTCCTCCTTCATTTCCGGTTTCTAATTTGATATCAACATTTCCCCCAATAACTACGTATTCAGGTGAGGTGATGGTTTATTTAGGGTGCTGACCAAGTCCTGGTGCATTATCCTGACTTACTGAAAGATCACTTGAGTAAATACCTTTCCAAAAATTTCATCACAGGAGGAGCTGGGGGTGTGGGTCAATGGTACAGTGCTTGCCTGCCACACACCAGGTCCCAGGTTCAGTTCTCAAAATTGCAAACAACAACAACGATCCAAGTAAACAGATTCCCCTTCACGGAGGCATTCCCCTCAATGGTCCAGAGGGGTGCTGGTTTCTTCCTATGCTGCAAAAACACTTCCAGCAGGTTCACCGGAACCCCAACAAGGCAGTAACAAACACACTGTCCCACTCCATGAGGGCACCACACTAACTGCACTTGCTGTTCAATCACAAGCACTCTGTGAGACACACACCACCATCATTTCCACTGTGCAGTGGAGGAAACCGAGGTCTGAAGAGATGTAAGGTCATGTGACTGATGATGAGGGCTCAGACTCTGGGCATAGGACACACACTACAGCCCCATGGGAAGCCACTATGGGTGGGGGGCAGCTGGGGCACCCTTGGCCTTGAGCCCTTCTCATGCCTGGTAAAGGGATCTGGTAATAGCAACCCAGTGCACAGTGCCATCTGCCTGGCCTTGGATACCCTGATTTTCAACCCTCACAGACCACTTCCAAGCCTGCGTGTTAACCAACCTGCACAGAAAAGCAGAACACAGGGCATGAAGAAAGAACTGGGGGAAATAAAATCTGCTATGATCAAGTCTAGGTGCTCTCTTCAGAGCCACAACAGGATGGGAAGGGACTCTCCACAGCTGCCCACACCTCCCAGGGTCTAGGTGGACTTCAGGGTACACAGCATCAGCAAGGAGGTACAGAGGGCAGACGGGGAAGGCAGAGTCTGCACTGACCACTCAGAAGTTGGGCTGAGTGGCTTGAACCCAATGCTGCTAAATGCCCCAGTCCCCTGAGCCAGAGCCATGACCCCAAGAAGCAACGCTTAGGAGAGACTCAACCGAGGCACACATCTTCCCAGCAAGAGCCATAGCACCTCTTTCAAGAGCAGACCAGCCAGATGCCCACAGCTGGTGGAGAGCCCGGGGGTGCTCTTCTGAACCCACGTACCAAGCACTCTAGGTTCTAAGCCCTGGCTTCATAATAAGCAAGTCGGAGATTCCACTGACTTTCAGCACGACAGCAGCAGGTGCTAACTTGAGTGTGAGTTTGGACGTGGTGTCATCCAGGCACGTCACCTTTCTCGCTGGACACCCAGGACCACAGCTGGGCCTCCCTCCCCATGCTGCCCTGCAGCCCAAGCTCAGCAGTGACCTGGGTGGGTGGCTCATCCACTCGGATGCCCCCGTCCCAGCTACCAGCACTGCCGCACTGCCTCTCCCACTGCCGACCGAATGCCTACCTGACGCAGCGCCTCCATCTCCTCATTGGCCGCCTTCTTCTCAGACGTGCTGTTCTTAAGCTTGGACTCGGCCAGCTCCACCTCAGTCTGCAGCTTGTCCAGCTCGGAGATGACCTGGTCACGCTCACTCATGATGAGCCTGTACTCGCTGAACACGGCGTCCCGCTCCTCACGGTACTTCTCCGACTCCTGGGCTGTGCGCACCTGCACGGTCCTCAGCTCTGTCAGCTCCGACTGCAGCAGCTCCATCTCCCACTGCAGGTCCTTGTTCTGCGCCGTGGCCTTGTTCAGCTCGTAGTGGATGGCCTCGAACCTGGGGGGTAGAGGGAGCAGCAGGGACGTGGGAGGAGCTGGGAGCTGCCGGAGGCTGTTCTGCCCCTCGTGCCAGCCCCATGGCCCAGGATGGCCAAGCGTGAAGCTTCACGTGAGGTCACTCTCTGCACCCCCAAAGGACAGCGGTCGCAGAGCTCCAGTGCCCTGGGCCTGGAATTTTTCTCAGCCTTTTATAAACATTTGAAGGTGAAGTGAGGACTGCATACCCTCTGCTCTACTAAAAATCACCCAGATTTCTTCCAAAGTCAAACTATGTTATTTAGAAAAGAATAGATTCAGGTGTGCAGCACATACTTGTAATCCCAGAACAAGGGAGGCAGAGGCAGGAGGATAGGCACAAGTTCAAGGCCACCCTGAACAACATAGTAAGATCCTGTCTCAAACACACACACACACACACACACACACACAAAGGAAAGAAAAGAAAACAAAAATTATAAAAGAAAGCAATGCTAGAATCATAGCAGAGGACAGCTAAAACTGGCTTTAATGCTGATTTCCTCCAACCACTCCTTTTTATAGATGGAGATAGAATAGTCTTGTGATTTGGGCAAAGGGCTGAGGTTAGGGGTCAGAGTCCAGGCCACACCCCCACAGTGAAGGCTCTGAGAAGTCCTGCAGAAGACACCCTCTGGCCCGTGTGTGCTCAACCTGAAGACTCCCAAACCTACTTATATCCAGAGGACACTTTCCAAGTGAAAGGAGGACTACAGCGAGCTATGTACTGCAGGAACATGCCTTGTGCAAACCTGCTGGAGCATGGAACCCCATCTCTAAAGACCACATTCCTTAATAAAAATGAAATTTAGGAGACACAGTGACCTGGACAGGTGATGCTCCCTTTTGCTAGGCGTGTCTAACACCCAGGGAGGAGTGGAGAGACCTAAGAGACAGGCTGCTCCAAACACAGCCGGAGCCGTAACCCAAGACACATTAAGTGTAAAAGCAAGTTTCCTGGATAGAAGTTTGTTGATTGAAAAGCACAGTAGCACAAGCTGTCTCTGCCCCGGCTGTGGCTGGGAACTCTGCAGATGACCACTACCCCACAAAGGAGAGGGGAAGATGGTCGTGCCCCTCGGGCCACTGCCACCTGCAGGAAGCAGCTGCAGCCCCACTGGCAGGGGCCAGGCTCCTACCTCCGCAGGGAGAGGGCGCACTGGTGCTGCAGCTGGATGGCCGTGTCCCGCTGCTGGGTCAGCATCTCCGTCTGCTTCAGCAGCCGCTGGTTCTCCTCTGTCAGCTGCTCCAGGCGGCTCAGGTCTGAGTTGTGCATGGCCACTTTCTCGCTGTACCTCTTCCGAAGGGCGTCATAGTCCTTCTTGACCACCTCCAGCTTGTCCATGGCCGTGTCGTAGAGCTTGTTAAGGATTTCCGATGAGCCATTGTGCTTCAGCACCTGGGGACAGATAAGGGTGTGTTTACCACCGGGCGGTGTGTGTGGGCTGAGGAGGTGGCAGGGGTCACCTCGCGCCTTTGGGGGTCTTGAGGTGAGGTCCTCGGGGCCCTGCAGCCAGCCCAGCTCTTCGTCGTTCCTCCTCAGAAAAGTGCGCCTGCCTGGCCTGAGCTCCCTTCCTGAGAGCAGCCCCCACACAGGCTGCGTCCTGACTGGCATTTGGGAATGGAGGGGAAACGGCCTGCGCAGCACGGGCTGAACGGCTGCTCTCTTCAGGGAGTCTGGGCCTTCAGGACGTGCCAGGCGGGCACCGATGTGATGGCCCCGCAGCAGCTGAGGCGCAGAGCTGAGTGTCCTGTGGCTCCGCGGAGGCCACCACTCTGCAAGTACCATCAGGCCCACACTGGGACAAAAGAGCATGTCTGAGGAGACCCTCCCTGAAGAGGAACCATACACCCAGCTTTCTCCAGACCTCACCCCATGTACCTCTCCTGGCCTTTGTTGACTTTGGGTCCAATGATTATACATTTTAGCCACTGGGCATAATTATACACTGAGTCCTCCTGGCAAATCACAGAACCTGGAGATGGTGTTGGGGACCACAAAAATACCCACAAAAGTACCTAAAATGGCTAGTATTGTGGGAGCTGGGTAGGACAGAAAAAGACTGTACCTTTTGAATAAAAATACAGGCTAAGAGGCTGGAGAGACTTCTGAGCAGTAGAATGGAAGGCTGTAAGAGAAGGAAGGAAGCCTGGGGCTGCCTCTCTCAGAGGGCGACTTCTGAGTCTGGATGCAAATGAGGAGAAGCTAAGAGCACACCTGCCCAATGGGCCAGTGAGGGACTGCAAAGGCCCTGAGGCAGAACTACCAGGTGCAAGCTAGGAACTGTGAGAAGGGCAAGACTGCGCAACTGCAGCCTGCTGGGTTGAAGGAGGAGGAACAGCTTCAAAACTCACACTGAAGACTGCATCTTGAGCAAGACAGAAATCCATGTGAATGCTTGTAGCAAGGGAGCATTCTACACTAAGTTACAGGAGCCAAAGTTGGGGTGATGGGGGGACCAAGAAAGTGAATTAAGAGGCTATTGGAGGGATGGGCCAGGGATTTAGCTCAGCGGTCTGGTGACTGCCTCTCAAGCACAAGGACCTGAGTTCGATCCCCAGTACAAAAAAAAAAAAAAAAAAAAAAA